TCTAGTACATAAAAGTGAATATAATCACTGAACCACAGCTGGTGGAGGTGTCAGGGTGGACATGAGCAGGGGCTTGGCTGGATGCAGAAGAGTAGATGCCCTTCTTGCATCTCTCCACGCTGCCTTTTCTCATAATAAAAAGCTTTTCTGTTTCTCATGAAAAAAGAAGTACAGCACTAAGACGATCTGCAGTTTGTCTGAATCAACAGGCTTCAGAAACATGAATCAATGTCACGACCGACAAAAGGCTGAGCCGCGCCCGGCGCGTCCAGAGGTGATAGAAACGTAATTAGAGAAGGTGTTGAAGGTGTGAGAAAAAGTGACAGGTGAGGTAGCATCCTATTTACAGGGGGATTCCTTGCTCTTGTGCACAATAACCCAGACATGCAGTGTAAGGGCGTTGAACGTGCCAAAGCACGTATGAACATATCACACACAGGCTTTTGAGGAATATGGCAGTTTTATCACACATATGCATCACAGGCTCGATGTATACAATAGCCTATATGTGAAGGGTGCGATGCACATCCAGACCGCTAAATTATGCCATTCGGACATAATGGGACACATCCGACAGCTTCTAATGCTGTTTAACTCTGTAATGCAACCTCTAAGTGCATGTGCGGATGGATGCACCTAGTGAGTAAAATAAACTCATTGACATCCAATGTAAAAAAAAACAAAAAACAATTAATAAGACTACCTGTTTTGAAAAACGGCTCCGTATCTGGATCGTTCGGTCCTTCCTCAGCCGCCTCGGCAGAATTCATCATTGCAGGATACGTTTCCACGAATGACGGTTATGATGATGGTCAGATTTTACACCTACGGATCTTTGTAATCTATGTGTGAGGGACACTAGAGCGCGTGGCCGTCTCCATTGGTGAACGCTCGTAGTAGTGAATGGTGATGATGATGATGATGATGATGCCCGAGGCTCTGCGCTCAGCGATACTGTATCCAGCGCTCCTCGGGGCGCTATTGTTTAAAGCTTGCCCGCCTCTGCAAGACAACTGCTGGGGGAACCCCGATAGAGAGAGCCGTAAAAAAAGAAAAAACGTCTCGTAATGCAGGTCTCTTAAAATCCCTTATTCATCCGTTCCTCCTCCACCCGTAGTATATTCCTCCATCCGTTCGATGTGACCCAGTGGATATAATGGCAGCGCTCCCCACACTGACCGAGCGAACCGCAAACTGCCTCCCACGATATGCTCCAGCCTCCCACTATTACAGATGAAACAATGCAGCTAATGCAACGACTGTTATAGAGGTATATACAATCGTTCTAGCGCGAAAGAGGTTCTTTATTGTGGCGCAGCGTGGAGAACTGGACCAATCTGTCCTCCTGATGCGCTCAAGCGCTTCCTAATAATGGGGTGTGTGTATTTTTCAAGAGGCCGGAGAACTCCAACCATCACCATACGGTCCTGTTAAAGGGATGCTTACGAATCGCGGTCTGTTAGGATGCTTTTATCATTGGAACCCCATTTAAAACTTATTTGCAGATTTCTATAAAAGTGGTTATTTTGTTCACTGAATATCGTTGTTTAAATAAAATGTTGGTCATGTTACTCTTTAAAAGTAACATTAGTAGATATTCTGTGAAATTATCATTTTTGAAGATAGATTTAAACAGTTTCACACAAACAGCGAGAACTTATAGATTGTTACACGATGTAATACATTTATTATATAATATTTCTTATATTAAGGAATTATATTGCTAAAGAATTTGTTTTTTTTAATAAACAATTAATATCGTTCTTTTTTTTTAGTCATGAACGAAAATGGTTCCAAAAAAGAAACCAAAGCTTCATGGTCTGGAGCACATAGGAGTGGAGCGGAGCCAGATTTCCCCTCTCAACTCCAAATCCAAGCTCTAAATCCACTCCAGGTGTTCCATTTTCCACTCCCCGCTGGCTGCTAAAGCGAAAAACGCTCTTAAGTGCTGCAGGCAAAACCACACAACTCCACTTAAAATTAGCAAAAATAAATAAAGAATAAGAAACAAACACAGACTTAGTTCGAGTAGCCTACTTTGTTTCTCAAATTAACAGGAAATAACCTGCAGGCCTATAAAAGAGACATTTGAATGATTATTCTTATATAGTAAGGTACACATAATATTACTGTATTGTCTCATTGTGTCACTTGTAGGGCCTATTATCAGGTTCTTAGTACAGTCTATAAAAACTTTAAGTCTAGTTGTAACAATATTATTTAGTTTGGTGAGAATGTGCCAGTAGCACTACCGTCAATCTCCACACCCCCTTACGAATGAGAATGTTTGTTTAGAAATCAAAAGTATGCTTGAGCGTGGGCACAATTGTGTTGTTTCTGGAAGTTAAATAGCCCTGTCGACTCTAACCAGGAAATTTGGTCTTCCTGTGATTCAGATTTTGCACAGGGTGAATTTAACATCTGCGAAAACAAATGCCGACATACTGAATGATTGTATTACCGCATGACTTGCTGATTTGTAAGATACTATTAAAAGGATTAATCGGTCTTCTACATAACTTAAAGGAACACTCCACTATTTTTGAAAATAGGCTCATTTTCCAACTCCCCTAGAGTTGAACAGTTGAGTTTTACCGTTTTCGAATCCATTCAGCCGATCTCCGGGTCTGGCGGTAGCACTTTTAGCTGTAGCTTAGCATAGATCATTGAATCTGATTAGACCGTTAGCATCTCGCTCAAAAATGACTAAAGAGTTTCTATATTTTTCCTATTTAAAAGTTGACTCTTCTGTAGTTACATCGTGTACTAAGACCGACGGAAAATGAAAAGTTGCGATTTTCTAGGCCGATATGGCTAGGAACTATACTCTCATTCCGGCGTAATAATCAAGGAACTTTGCTACCGTACTGATACCGCAATGATATTACGCAGCGCCTGAAAATAGTCCCCAGCACGCTCCCTGTGCAAGCAGGTGGTCACGTTGGTTATGTTGACGGAAGTTAGCCTATTTTCAGGCACTGCGTAATATCATCTTTTCATTTTCCGTCGGTCTTAGTACACGATGTAACTACAGAAGTGTCAACTTTTAAATAGGAAAAATATAGAAACTCTTTGGTCATTTTTGAGCGAGATGCTAACGGTCTAATCAGATTCAATGATCTATGCTAAGCTACAGCTAAAAGTGCTACCGCCAGACCCGGAGATCGGCTGAATGGATTCAAAAACGGTAACACTCAACGGTTTAACTCTAGGGGAGTTGGAAAATGAGCCTATTTTCAAAAATAGTGGAGTGTTCCTTTAAATTCAATGACAGACAAACGCTTTCTTAGAAAGATTGAGGCTATGTGAGGAAAACGTGCTAGCAGATGGTGAAATGCTGCCCTCTTGAGGAAATATGGTTTCATAGAGGCCTCAGTGGCCCTTAGAAGGAATGATACAACAACAGAAAACATTATTCACATTCTTTCAATTCTGTGTGCAAGCAATTCATTTGAAAGCATGCTGTGTTCTAGCAGACATACTTTATTTGTCTAATTTTGCAATTATTAAATTAACCTGTATCAGATGGACTGATTCTTGGTGTATGCTTGGTCTTTTATAATGGTTCTTACACCAGGGCAGGTGATCATCCCTCCAGAAGGATGTCATCAAAGCCCAGCAGGAAAACATCGAGTAGGCAGCGCTGTGAGGATCAAAACGAACAGCTTCATATCACTTTATGTAGATTTACTTAACCTGCTGAGAAAGCAGAACACAAATCTATAAGTCATCAAACATTCATAAGGAAGAATTTATATTCTTCAAAGTATGCAGGGGAAAGTTTGTGAGAATGAGATCTTCAGAGCAGTGGTCTAATGAAAAGTCCTCGATCTATGCTTGATTTAATGGATCTCAAACCTGAGACGTTCACTGCTGGGCATGCAAAGGTGATCATATTCTGAACTCTGAATTACAGCTGAATCTGAATAAAACATATACAAGTGAATTCATGATTTACATCAAATGAAATGATAATATATCGAAATGCCATGGCTCACGCCACATCTGAACAATGATCCTGTGTTCTCTGATGTATGTTTGTCATTTGAGATGTTCTGTAGCATCTATCTTACAGAGAGAGATTTCACAGACCCAGGATGACATGGCACTCTCTTATCTGGATACCTTGTATAATATAAACATCTTTAAAATATATATATATAAGTGAATTTTACAGATGTAGTTGTTCAAGGATAGATAACTTTATAAACAATCAAACTAAATCCATAAAAACCGTATCCTGATTCAGTATTTTTAGTCTAATAAATCGGTTTAAGAATAGTTTGTGGTCCCCTTTCCCTTCTGAAAAGCTCTATGATTTCTTTCATCACAGGAAGGCATATGATGGTGAGGGTGTCTGATTTCATCAGTTGTGGTAAACTGTGTTTTGGATGAGAATTTAATGGGATAACGTGAGGAAGAGAACAGACTGTAACCTCATCTACCCATTACCCAGGAGGCAATAAACACCCCAGTCAAAAATAGCGTTCAGGGCTTTTAGCTTACTTGTTCTCTCACAAGACTTGATGTAATGCAGGGTATTTCGCACTCTGCTCTGAAATATGGTGGACCACTTATGCTGACCGATTTCATTTCACTAGAATTAAATGAAAACTACATGAGCCTACTTGTGCTAACATATTGACTATTTAAGATACTGAAAATAAAAATAAAAGAAGTTATTTAACTTACAGTATAAAAAGTATTAAAAAATTAAATTATTTAAAAAAAAAATGAAAAATAAGTTAATTCTAGAACTGACACGCTGGAATATTATTTTACAGAATTGCTAAATATCAGACTGATTATTCTGCCATTCCATCTCCATAGAAACACCTTTCTGGCGTCTGAAGGCGTAATGGCGTTGGCTAAGCCTGAGGAATCTGAATGGCTAGTGCTCATTTGATTGACATAGCTCAAGGCCAATAGATGACAGGTTTGATTTTTTTTTTACTGTAATCCACCAATGAAATCCACAGATTAAAACTGACTGTTTTCCTATTGGTCCACGGCACTCAGCTTCCGTTTTGAACGCAAACTGAACTACTGGTGATGATTGTAACAGCAGCGGTTTGTTTTGCTTTTCATTCCTTAGTTTTTAGATGAGTGCAGTTTGATTTGACATTTGGTCAAATCAATATTTGGTGCTAGGTAGGTTTGCAGATTTAATCAAGTATGGCAAGACAGGGCGTATCAAGACCAAAGGTAGAGGGTGCAAGCTATTATTTATATTATATAAGTTATTGTACATTGTTTTGTTTTATCACTAAGCAAATGATGTTTTGCAGGTGATCTCAACAGGCAGACTGACAGCCTCTGGACGTGGACAGATACACAAGAAAAGGTAACAGACTGGATAACAGAAATCCTTTAGAAGAAAAACTTCTTAATAGTTGAAACAAACATCTGACATACAGAAATGGTGTCTGGTTTAGGGTTGCTGGGAGATGTGTTCCTCCTCTAGAACCAGCGTATTCTCTTTATTCTACAGACTCTGAAGATCAGGTAAAGCAGCCACATACCAGAAGTAGTAGTGTATAAACTGAACAGAATGAAATGTAAGCTTCTGTGACATTCTTTCACATTGAATATTGCATCCAGGTGACGACGATACACAAGGGACTGGACCGATGTGCTGCTTTACTCAATGGGATACTTCAAGCTGAACAAGCAGGTATTGTATTTACAAAATCCATACATTTTCTATGTTTAGTATTTGAGTAGTGATGAGACCAATAATCTCCACACAACAGAATCAAAGCCCAAACCACAGGGAACAAAAACCTGCACCTTCAAATCCAAACCCAAAAATGTATCAAGAAAAATGGAAACTGACAAGAAAAGGCATGGGAAGAAGACAAACACAGCTATACATGCAAACAAAAGGCCAGGTAATGTCCTCAAATACATTCAACCCTTTTTATCTTATCAAAAGAAGTTCTGCAAGAATTTATACCTGTTTTTGAAATGTGACACATTTGTCAGTCTTCCAATAAATCCATCCATTTTTTTTTGTAAAATCCTTAGGACAATTTGTGGGAATGCCGCAGTAGAAACGGGTCATTATTCTTAAAGTCATTTTCAGAAGCACAGATACTTCAAGATCACACCATATTGTTCTTCTCTTACCGTAGCTCCAGTGCAGAAGACGATTCCATCTGCCAGTTGTCACCCGAGTTCAGCTGGGCGTCGTGATCAGAACCCTGGGATCAGACGGGCACAAGTGACACAGGATCATCCTTCAGGACTGACCCCTGTAACGCAAGCAGAACATGAACAGCAAAACTCACTTCCACTGGCTTACTCTCAGCCTGCTGCTAGCTGTAATATTCCAGATTCACTAACACACAGTATAATGACTCTAACATAGTAAATATAATTAGTAAATGAAAATGTAATTTATGTTTACTCTCTCTGTTTGCAGGTCAGGTTTACAAATCCACTGTATTTAACTGTCGGCTGACTACATCCACACCTGCACTGAGCCCTCAGAGACCTGGATCAGCTCACAGTGAACCTGTATGTTTACTGAACTATAATCCACTATGCAAACAATGAGAGCTGTTGATCCATTAAAATGTATAAAAATAATTTTAATTGCATTTCCTATAAACTGTATATATATATATATATATATATATATATATATATATATATTTTACTGACAAAATCACCCAAATTAAGACGAGTAAAGCACGTGGAAGTCAATATATTGTTGTTTTATTATTATAACTGAACATAAACCTATCACCACAGAATTTCACACAGATAACATTTGCATAGTATACGCTAGCTTTCTGGCCTATGTACTGTTCATATGTGTCAGACTCACAATACCATTCTATTTTCTTTTCCCAAATAAGTGTCTTATGCTCACCAAGGCTGCATTTTCTAAAATTAAAAATACTGTAAAAACAGTAATACTGGGAACTATCATTATAATTCAAAATAATATAATGTTTTCTACTTTAATATATTTTATTCCTGTGATAGAAAAGCTGCATTTTTAACAGCGGTTTCTCCAGTCTTCAGTGTTGCATGAGCCTTCAGAAACTATACAAATAACACCTAAATAATTAAAGATTAAAGTAATTTGTTAAGATAAAGGAATGAAACGATATGCTAATTTGGTGCCCAAGAAACATTTTGTATTATCAGTGTTGAAAACAACCGTGAAGCAGCCGTGATACATTTCAAGAATTAAATTCTTTGATGATTAGAAAGTTCAAAAGTGCAGTGTTTAATTGAAATAGTAATATTTTGTAATAATGGGAAAGTCTTTACTTTCATGTTTTATTAATTGAATGCATGCTTGCTGGATAAAAGTATTCATCTTAAAGCAAAACTTTTGAATTGTCCTGGTAACTTTCTTGGTTCGGATTATTCCTCATTATTGAATACACATGCTGTATGTGTAAAATGTTAAATTGACCTAATTGATGGTTCTAATAATATAGGTGCTTCATCATCAGGTGGGATCTGTAGAGCCAAGTGCCCCTTTGGCATCATCCACTGGGTCCTCAACCTGTCCCTCATCTGCAGTGATAACAACACATGTGCCCAACCAGCCCCAGGTCAGCCAGCCTCAACCTGATCCAAGTGGATCAGTACTAGTTATTTGCAATGACCAGGAGCAGGAGATCTGTTCTAAAGAAAGTGGTACTAATGCAGAGGATGACATAAAAGATGGGATGGACACTACACCTGTCAGAGACATCAGCTGTGAGAAATTAACAGTTCTAAATCACAATGCCAAACCCACCAGTCCAGAGAAAACCACACAGAAAGTGATGACTGTTAAATATCTGCTGGGAGAGCTGAAGACTTTAGTTGCTAATCAGGGTGAGAATATTTGATTTGACTTTCCATTCATCTTTAATTCTTTCATATCATATTAGATGTAGCAAATCTATAAAAAAAAAAAATTAAACAATTAAAATTCTGTTATTTACTGTACATACACTTATGTTGTTCCAAACCTGTATGATGTTTTTTCTTCTGTGGAACAAAAAGTACATCATACAGGACAAAAACAATGAGACATTTGTCGACATATCTTTTAAAATGTCTCTTGTTTTTTGTGTATATTGTTGTCAGGCTCTTATTACAGGGATGTCTTCCTTTCTTCCCTCTGTCCTGATCTCTAGATCTGATTAATGAAAGCTGATACGATGGTTATCTAATTCACTTTCTGTAACATAATAAAATATTGGACCGTCAGAGTATCAGATAACCCAAGGATTGAGTTGCTGGTTTTGCAGATTCTAGAAACTTGCCCGATGAGCAGAGTGTGTGTTAGTTTCACATGGTATTAATGTTCACTCTTCTGTGCAGACGGTGATGCTGTGCGGCTGATCTCTGAGGTGGAGCAGAGCGTCTCACTGCTTCCTGTCATGGTGGGCAGCACCAACATCCAGGCTGAGATCGCACTCGCCCTACAGCCCCTCAGGAGTGAGAACGTACAGCTGCGAAGGTCAGTGACTTGAAGAGTGTATAGAATACTAACAACTACTGCATAATAGAATATAAAACTGCAATTAAATTAATTACATGATACATGCCAATTAATTAATCTAAATTAAAAACGAATCAGATTTATCAGTATGTGTTGAGAAAAGCCTCCAAATCAAGTTAATTCAGAGTCTTTACTGTGGCAAAAAGCATTGAATAGCACACAAAAAGCGACCTTAGAAGTCAATATATTGCATGGCATTGGACATAAGCTTGATTATGCAGATTAATTATGTTAAAGGGGTCATATGCAATTTCAAGTTTTCCTTTCTCTTTGGAGTGTTACAAGCTGTTCGTGCATAGATAAGATCCCTAAAGTTGCAAAGACTAAAGTCTCAAACCCAAAGAGATATTCTTTATAAAAGTTAAGACTCGTCCACGCTCTCCTAAAACGCCTCGTTTAAACACGCCCCCACATATCTACGTCACGATGTGGGAAGATTTGCATAACACTGCCCAAATGTTCACGCAAAGAAAGAAGGTGTAACTTTATTGTTGCTGCCACCATGTTGTGAAGACGCTGTGCTTCGTTGTGAAAGCGAAAATACTTTGTTTGGCCTTCCAAAAGAGGACACGACTAGAAATCAGTGGTTAAGTTGTATTTACAACACTGTTCCAGAACACTTCAACCAAAATATTCAGATGTGTGCAGCGCATTTTATGGAGGACTGTTTCCTGATCCTGGAAGAGTAGACTACAATGCCGGCTTTTTCTGACTCACAGACTGTAAGTACGTTTTCATATTTAAAGAATTTGCCACTGACGATTCAAATGCGAGTTTTGAGCAGTGTAGAGTAGTGCTTGTTGTTTGTCATTTCTCCGATCACAAATGCAGACATGGTTTTATGTTTATGTGGCGCGATGCAATGCAACTCGAAAGAAGACAGTATAAGTCATTATAATCAGTAATTATGTCCCCACTGGATGCAACAAATGCCTCGTTTATAATGGGTTTTACTGGTTTTGTCTCTTCGCGCCGGGACACGGCATCACTGCTTCCTGTCATGGTGGGCAGCACCAACATCCAGGCTGAGATCGCACCTCGCCCTACAGCCCCTCAGGATATTATAACATTTCCGTTGTCACACGCTTGAGGTATTCGGCCAATCACAACGCACTGGATA